CACTTCCTCTGAGTCTCAGTGTGCTTTTCTCTTTCCTTCTAGTTGTAGAATTTCCACTCAGCCAGCCTTCCTATGGTTCTGGGTGATGTCCATTTTGTTTTTTAGTTGTAGTTTTGAAGTAGTTGTGCAAGGCAGCAATTTCAGGTGTTTACCTATGCCGCCATCTTGGTTTCTCCTTTCGCATATTAGCCTTTTATGCCTGCGGAATCAGGCCAAAACCAGCTCTCTGACATCCCCTGAAGGGTCCAAGAGACCCTTTGTGAGAGGGTTCAGGCTAGGCTGAGGAACCCCACTGGTGCACCATTGGGGCTGGGGAGGTACGCAGGAGGTTGGCCAGCCAGGGAGGGACTGCGGGAGGGCTCCAGGGTGTGTCTGGCCTGTCTTGCTCAGTCCCAATCAGCCGGACCCCAGCAGCAAGCTAACCTACCAGTTGGAATGTCTTCCCCCTGGTGGTCAGTGCACGTTATAGTGACTGGTCGACTGTCTGCCCCCTAGTGGTCAGTGCACATCATAGCGAGTGGTTGAGCGGCCTTAACATATCATTAGCATATTATGCTTTGATTGGTTGAATGGATAACTGGACGACCGACACAGATATTAGGCTTTTATTATATAGGATTATTAATAAGGAGCTACATGTTTGCTAATGACTGATTACTATAATCATATTGCATTCATTTCCCTTTCACACTTTATGCGCAGGTTTGCCATTTCTCTCCACTAATACTAGCAGTGAATATTTTAGCAGCCCATTGCCATGTAATTAGTCTTGGACTGATTTGTTTGGTGTGAACAACAGGAAATATTTTGCTTTGGGAGAACAAGAAAAATAGGTTTATTTGAATTATGCTTATTAATTTATGTAGTTATTCAGTGTCTGATAAGTTCATGTTCAAAAAAATTAATTTTTATTAAAATGTTCTATTATTTGATGTTAATGATTACTCATTTATTTCAGCCCTTTGTATTCAGCATATCGCTATTGAAATAAACCTATATTTCTATGAAAATTAAAGCTTTTGTTTTTTTGCGGCCCACATAAACTTAAACCTTGTTTATTTGGCCCATGTTAGTCTTTGAGTTTGATATGCTTGGTCTAAGGAATGGCGTGGTTTTGTGGGGTGAGAGTTAAATTGAAGTAGGTGACTGTTGTTTGGGACAACTGGGCTTTATGAGGGGATGCACATACCTCTCTGGTCAGGCAAGAAGAGTGGATAAAGGGGTATTTAGTAAGATGCAGTGTAGAGGTGAGGTGGCTAATGACTGTGAGACTAATCCATCAACCCCCATAATAGAGACTGAGAAGGGGACAAGAGTCCCAGTGAATTCAGAGAGAGCAGAGTAAGTGGCCCCAGTGTCAATTAAAAAGGAGATCAACTTACCCACCACAATTACAATTATTACCTGAGGCTCTGTCCTGGTGATGTAAGTCTGTGGGGCCTTGTCAGGGCCTGGGCAGCTTCAGTCTTCGGTGGCCAGTCCCAGAAGGTCTGGGAGCTCCAAACCAGATCCAGAGGCCGGCCTTGCTGAGGTCTGACCTGGAGGGGCCAGACTACAGTCTGATATCCAGTGGCCTTCCCTCCTGCACCGTGGGCAGGGTCCAGGTGGGGGTCTTGGGCAGGACTTGGTCCAGTGTCCTTTCTTGTTGCATTTGAAGCATGGGCCCAGAGGAGGCTTAGCCCCTGACTTACCCTTGGTTGGAGGCCTGGCACTTCGTTTGGGGTTCATGAGAGCGGTGGGTAGGAGCTGAAGGCCTTCATCTGGGCCTCAGCCTTGGCCTGATCTTGCTTTTGTTTTTGGATTTGGGTTTCCTCGTCTCCATTATTAAAGACCTTAAAGGTCATGTTTAAAAGGTCTCTTGGGGATGGGGAGGTTTGTCCCTTCTGGGCTTATGGGATCAAGATTGGTGTATTTTCTTGTGGTTTGTGGAAGGCGAGAGAGGAAGACTGCCGGATTTTCATGTCTTTCCTGGGTGACCTCTGCTAATTTTTCATAATTAATTGCTTTGTGGGCTGCCTTTCTCAGTCCTTCTAGTAGGCAGAGAACCATGTGGTCTCGAGACCTGCGACCTGCCTGCCCTTCCTGATAGTTCCATTGTGGGTCCCTGTCAGGGACAGCATCCTCTCCGACTGGGAGGGCAGGGGCCTGCCGGCGGAGGGTATCCATGTGGCCCTGGGCATGAAGCCAGATTCTGCTTTTATCCTCTGGGCTCAGAGTGGAGGAGAGGATAAAGTGGAGATCATTCCAGGTCATGTCATATGACCGGATGAGATATTCAAATTCCTGGGTGTATTTGGTGGGGTCTTCTGTAAAGGAACCGAGTCTTTTGTTCATCTAAGGTAAATCAGAAAGAGAGGATGGGACATGGACCTGTACAATGCCCTTGGCGCCAGCAACCTAAGGCTAGTGCTGGAGTGGGGGGAGGAAGAGAGCCAAAGACTGCCCCAGAGCAGGTGTGAGATAGGGTGGTAGCAGTGGGACCTGCTGGGTAGGGTGGCCGGCTCTCAGGCTGCTGAGACAGGTGAGCCGTAGGCTGGGGGACCGGGGATGGCTGGTGGGATCAAAAGTGGTGAAGGAGAAGGAGGATTTGAGATCCTCAGGGGACTTAGAGTGAAGAAGGAAAATCTGTGAGGGAAAGCAGCTGTCACAGAGAGAAGGACATGTCCTGTGTGTGAATAAAGCCCGGATATACGGGACCTCAGATCACTTGCCCTGCCTGCAGCAGAAATTGTCAAGGTCAGTTAGGATTTGGAAATCAAAAGTGCCATTTTACTGAGGCCAGAAGTCCTGTGCAAACCCTAAGGTCTGAAGATTTTTAAGTAGACAGCCTAGGGGTGTGGTGCGGGGAATGGCCCATGGTGATGGGCTGGGGCTTAAGGTCTGTCCTCTGTGAAATGTTAAGGTGGAGAAAGGTGTCCCTGTTTCCCCCTAACGTTCATCAGAAACGAACGGAGCCCTCCCTCTGTGACAGACGTCCGCTGTCAGGAGAGTGATCAAGGGAACCTGGTTCCCGGAGGACTTATCCCGACCAGCGCTGGATTTACATAGGGTCGGCTGTACAGTAACAGCCTGGAGTCCTGGCTCCAAACCCTTAAACAGAAATTACGGGACAGTTCGGAATGAGGGAAAACAGACTAAAGCCACTTACCCATGAATTTATGCCCGGTGTTGATGGAGGAGGAGGCAACGTGAGGAGAGATCCACTATCCAGTCATGGGCATTATCCAGTCATGGGCACGACCTAGACAAGTCCAGAGGAAGGCTAGGGGGTCCTAAGTAAGTGTCACAGTCAAGCAGAAATTCAGCCGTGTGGGAGCGTGGCTGGGGACCTTCCCTGGACACAAGGGGAGCTCAGGAGCTGGATGATCATGGATGATCATGGTCTCTCTGAGTGCCAAGTGCCCAGTTTCTGGAACCCTGAGATGACTCTTACTGGACCACTCACTAGACCTTCCCGGGTTTCAAAGCCAAATGAAAGGTTCAGAGTGGGCCGGGGCTGCAGACCTATGACATGAGGCCATAATGTACTAGTATCAAAAGAACTTTTATTTTAAGCACCTGGGTGCAGGCAGGCTGAGTTTGAAAAAAGGAGTCAGTGGTGACTGAAGGGGGAGGCAGGTTTTTATTAGCTTCTGCTGGCTGCAAGCTCTTTCTGCTGCTGACTGCTGACTCACAGAGCTTGACTGGCGGGTCCTGTCCTTGGTTCCTCCCGGCACCAGATGTCTAGTGGTTATCTAGGATATGTCCAGCTCCAGGCTATAAGCTTTCTGCAAGATACCTGCTAAGCACAATAAGATTCCTGCCCCATTTATTCTCTTTAACCTTTTCAGTACCTCGTTGTCATTTTGATTTGCAGCTCTCAGATGATTAGTGACTTTGAGCATGTTTTCATATGTCTCTTGACCTTCTGTATGTACACTTAAGAAAAATGTCTATTTAAGTCCTTTGCCCATTTTTTGATTGGATTGTTTATCTTCCTTTTGTTAAGATGTATGAGTTCCCTATAAATTTTTGAGAGTAGGCTCTCATCAGATATAACATTGGAAAATATGTTCTGCCATTCAGTAAGCTTTCTTGTTGTTTTGTTGATGGTTTCTTTTGCTGTGCAAAAGCTTTTTATTTTGATGTAGTCACATTTGTTTATTTCCCCCTTAGTTTCCATTGCCCTAGGAGCTGTATCAGTATAGATATTGCTATGACATATGTCTGATATTTGGCTGCCTATGGAATCTTCTAAGATTTTTATGGTTTCCTGCCTTACGTTTAAGTCCTTTAACCATTTTGAGTTTATTTTTGTGTATGGTGTAAGTTGGTGGTCTAGTTTCATTTTTTTACATGTATCTGTCCAATTTTCCCAACACCATTTATTGAAGAG